TTAGGATTTGAGGGTGAACAGTTTAAAAGCTGAAATAATCTATAGAACTCTTTTCTGCCATGTTCTGAGATACACATTTCTTTAAAATATCATTGTGTTAGAACCAGTGACACCTATAAGGCACAGACAAGATAACATTTATAGGTTTCCATAAGTTATCTGCCTTGTGAAAGTAATAGTATGGCAGAAAAGAAAAAAAGTCACTAGATTGTCCACTAAACTCTAGGTTTGCAGAGCTAAAGTAGCAGACAGTGTGAAACAGTGAGCACACTGTGGAAAGGTTATGCTCACAGTGGGTTTGGGTTGTAGAATATTCTTTAGTCATACTGCCTTGTGTAATACTGACATAGACTTAACTATTAACATGTTAAGAGGACTAGGCTCTGTTTAGTCTCTAATGTCTCAAACTGGCTGAGTAGTTCTTTTGCTTGTTTACTCCTTTTAGAGAAGACAAAAGTGAGTCAGCTAGGGCAAGTCCAAGAACCTTAATTGGGCATTTCTTAAGTAATTATATATATGTATTTTTTGGTGTACTAAATATAGAAATCTCTTCTTTCACTTAGTGAGTTGTCATTTGCTCTCCTGACTTGGAGACTGTGATAGACAGCACTGATCTTGTTGATTGTCTCTGTCTTGTTCCACTATGGTGTTAAGACACATCAAATGGTAGGTTTTGGTAAAACAATGAGAAAAGGAATGGCAAAACCGAAGCTAGACCCTAAGGTTCCTGTCTCGGGTATTATCTTATGCATTTATCCGTATTCAGAATGCAAGACTTCAAGAGTGCTTGTGGGGCTCTTCTATAAGGACAATATGGAAAGGAAGCATTGATTCTGCTGTGAAGTTCAAGTTTGCCTTTGAAGAATCCAATAAGGGGAAGGTGGCATCATTCTAATTTTTCTAGAAAAAAAAAACCTTAAGCTTTGTTACTGGACTCAATCAACATATGTGTTCAAAATATCCCTGTTGTGTGTTATAGGGTTTCCAGGATTTTTAAAACAAAGCTTGTTAATTAGCCATGTAAACAAACCATCTAGATAAAGATATGGAAGGATAATGAGGCAAAAAGAATATATGTAAATACTTCATCAAAGTCACAAGCAAACCAAACCATAAATGAGACTAGTGAGCTTGTCAAATGAGAATTAGTAAGAGATGCTCTGTTTCAGAAAGAAATGTTTCTTGAGCATTTAAAAGTAACATGTACTTGGAATCAAACACACTGCACATTTCCCAGGCCATCTGTGAAGTCTGCCAGACAGACACAGAACATGTTAGAGTTCACAGATGACGCCAGAATCTATTAACCAAACTTTCAATCCTACAGTTCTTTTTGCTAATATTATGGTAAAATATTAATTTATTAAACCTGGTTTGATGGCACATTCTTGTAATCCCAAAACTCAGAAGTGTCTGTGGGACAAACAGGCAAGAATGATTGTCTCTTGTCTTTAGTTACATATTGTCAGTAAACCATTCAATTATTATCTTTATCAATAACACATATTGCAATATTACAATTTTTGTTGATTTTATGATCTTTCTGCTCTATCTTTCTCTGTCAAACATAGTAGATATGCCTCTAAAAGAGTCAATCACATATAATTTGTGGCAGATAAGAGGGAATTTCTTTGATTTTAATGTTTAACTGGTAGAATGGATGTAGAGCTGAGTTGCTTCTGCATGTGTATAGCCAGTGGCTTTACAGTGCTTACATTATTAATCTCTATTCTTTCCTTTTCCCCTGACATTGACTCATTTTAGCTTGGGGGTTTTGTTTCTTTGGTTGTTTGGTTGTTTGGTTGATTTTGTTCTTTGAGGTAAGGTGTTTCTGGAACTTGTTCTGTAGGGCAGGCTAGCCTCAAAATTAGAGAACCACCTCCCTCTATCTCCTGATTGCTGGGATCAAAGGTGTACAACACCACTACCTGGACTCCTTTTAGATCATAATGCTGTTACCATAAGAGGCTTTGGGCCAGATAATATGACATTAGCTATAATTATGAATTATAAAAACAAAATTAATCAATGCTTTCATGTAATTTTTTCTTTTGCTTAAGACATATAAGATTTGCTATTTTATGCACATTGCAAGATTTTATGTTGGTAGCTGAGTCGTTTAACTTCAAGCAAAGTAGTAGTACTTTAGGTACTCCTACTGTAGCTTGGGTATGTTGGTCTCTGGCTGTAAGCAAATCAAAAGTTAATTAAACAAGGGAGATTTCTCTGTATAGTACTGTTGCTTGCTTTATGCTTACATTCCCAGAAAAGTTATATTTTTGGAGTGATGGCTGTAAAAACCACAAAATTGTAGTGTAGTTTTTTTTTTTTGGCAGAGTGCGGATACCCTCTTTCTTTTCCTCTTTCCTTTTTTCTTCTTCTGATAATAGACCTGGTTGCTTGAGGTTTTCATGAAACATTGATTGTTACCTGTAAATTACATATGTTTGGTGAGACACCTTATTCTACTCACGTTTTGATGTAAGTTTTAGAAGCTACAATTTTAACTTAAATTGTAATTTGAATGACCACAAACAAAGGCTAGGGTTTTTTTTTTCTTTGTCTTCAAATGATGTTTAATGAAATCATAAATTATAAATGTGAAAAAATTAAACGGAAAGTTTAGACATGAACTTTTGACTGGATTTATGAAAATCGAGTTCTAATATTTCAATAGCCAGTGGTTTTTTTCTAGAGTAGTGGTTCTCAATCTTACTAATGCTGTGACACTTTAATACAGATTCTCATGTTGTGATGGTCCCCAACCATAAAATTATTTTTGTTTGTGCTTCCCAACTGTAATTCGCTCTGGTTATGGTTTGTAGTGTAAATATCTGTGTTTCTTGATGGTCTTAGGCAATCCCTGTGAATGGATCGATTGATTGTCAAAAGGGTCATGACCCACATTTTAGAATCACTAATTTGTATATGACAAGATTGCTGTATTTATCAACCATATATTGCATATAAGGTATTTTGAGTTACAGCAGTGCATATATTAAGTATTTTATTAATCATTTTGTTTTTTTACAATTCAAATAATATCTCCCTTTTTGGTTACTCCTCCATAACTGCTCCACCCCATCCTCCCCTCTCCTCCCTTTCTTTTGTCTCTATGAGAGTGTTCCTCCACCTACTCACCCACTCCTGTCTAACACCTCTAGCACCCACCTACATTGGGGCTTAAAGGCTCCCTCCCCTCCCATTGATGTCAGATAAGGCCAGTTTCCACTACATATGTAGCTGGAGCCATGAGTCCCTCCATATATACTCTTTGGTTTGTGGTTTAGTCTCTGGGGGTTCTGGGTGGTCCAGTTAGCTTATATTGTTCTTCCTATGGAATTGTGATCCCCTCAGCTCATTCATTCATTGCCCTAACTCTTCCATTAAAGTCTCTGGGCTCAGTCCTATGGTTGGCTGTGAGCATCTGCATCTGTGTTGGTCAGGTGTTGGTAGAACCTCTCAGGGTTCTGACAGCCATATCAGGCTCCTGTCAACAAGTGCATCTTGGCATCAGCAATAGTGTAGGGGTTTGGAGTCTGCAAATGGAATTGATCCCTACGTAGGGCAGTCTCTGGATGGCCTTTCCTTCAGTCTCTGCTCCGTTGTTTTGTCCCTGCATTTCCTTTGGACAGGAGCAATTCCGGGTTCAAAATTTTGAGATGGATGGGTGGACTCATCTCACAACTGGGGGCTATGCATATAATTTGAGAGATATATGAATATCTCATTTTATAGATAGAAAAATATTCCAGCCAGGGAGCCTGTGGTATTATATTGTATGGTATATTTTTCTTTTGGACATTCAGATTTCATAGTGATAAACTCAGGCACAGAGAAGTGATGCAAGGATGGTTATATGTTGTTGTCTTTAGACAGATACAAGTTCTTCGGAAAAAAAAAAAACTCGAGGCCACTGCTTTGCTGTCATTGCTCCTTGGGACAGTGGTTCTCAGCCTTCCTAATGCCTCAGCCCTAATATAATTCCTCAAGTTCTGGTGACTCCCAACTATGAAATGATTTCCTTTGCTACCTCCTAACTGTGATTTTGCTACTGTTATGAATAACAATATAGATGTCTTATATTCAGAATATCTGACACGTAAGCCCAAAGAGATGACAACCCACAGGTTGAGGACCGTTGCTTTGGAAGAGTGTGTAAGACTTGGAGTCTTTTAGCAATTTCAGCTACTGTGAAACTCTAAGCTTGTATTGGATTCAGCTTGAAAGAGACTTGAATAATAAGTTCTTAGTGATGTTGCTTTCTTAGCTCAGTTTGGAAGGTACCTGGAATTATTAAAGCAGATATGAAGCTCTGAATATTTGTGATGTTGTCTGCTGTTGACAGTTTCATTCGATATGAGAGGTGCTGGTGAACTCTACATATAATGTTCCATTTTAGCTTGTTTAGCTTTACATTTCTTTTTTTTTTAGTTATTTCATATTTAATCATAAATAAAATTAATGTAAATTGTGAAATAAATTCATTCTACTCATCCATGCAATCATTTTTTTAATTTAGGAAATGATTCGTGATTTGTATATTTTTAATAGGCAATTGTACTGTTGGGCTTAATGCCTCAAACCTATTATCTCAGCACTAGGAAATTAGACACAGGACAATCAGAACCATGTCCCCAGCTCTGTAGTGAGTGTGTCGATAGCATGGGCTATATTGGATCCTGACTCAAATAAAAATAATAATGATAGAAGATTATAGAATTATAACAAACTCATTTACAGTCAAAATTGTTAGTAATTTACACTTATCAATAACTAGATTTACAAAGACTAATTTTCTATTTTAATTCCAGTATAAAGTACTAGCTTCAAAAATATTTTTGATAGATTTTGAGAAGAGTGATATTTGACTTATATTATAAGAGACATGCTTGGCTTCAACATCTGGAGTGAAATGTACTCACTTGTTTTTGAAGGCTGTGATTTTGGAAACATCTATCTGTTCTAACAGTATGTCTATGCCTATGTCTTTGGTTTAGGAGTGCAAGATCCCCGGCATGAGAGAGTTGTCACTATATCTGGTAATGGGAGCATCCACAGCCCGAAGTTTCCTCATACTTACCCAAGAAATATGGTGCTGGTGTGGAGATTAGTTGCAGTAGATGAAAATGTGCGGATCCAGCTGACATTTGATGAGAGATTTGGGCTGGAAGACCCAGAAGATGATCTATGCAAGTGAGTGACACATGTGAACACATGTGAAGTTCCAGCAGCGTGTAACACTGCTGGGTTCAAGTCGCTTCTTCGATATGCATTTAAATGGAAACTTTGGCAAACCTAAGTTACACATTCACACATTCAGTGATTACTTCTATCTACATCTATCTACACAATTTGGCAAAACTTTGGCTTACATTGTACCTGAGTGTTTCTGTATATTATAGGAAAGAGAGAATAAAAGCTATGTAAAGGATTGTAGCTGGACCAGATAACGTGAATCACCACTGAGATTTATCTTATATTTGAGCTTCTTGAAAGTCATGTCAATGAAATAAATACAATATTTAAAGAGAGCTAGGAAGATGGCTCAGTGGGAAATCAGGTCCATGCTACACAAGGACCTGATTTCAGATCTCTAGCAGTTGGGTAGCTGCTGTATAATCTCATGATAAAGAAGACTCTGGGCAGTCTATGTACTTGAAGCAGTGAGATATAACCAGAGAGATCCTGTCTCAAAATATTATGGTAGAGAAGCAACTGTGCAAGAGACCCCTTATCAAATACACACACATGCTCACTCACAAGTCACTTATACATACATACACATTATATATAATATATATATATATATATATATATATATATATCACTTAGACACACACATGCATACAGATGCACACACGTGTGTGTGTGAGCACAACTTCTTATACAAAAGCTGTATCTACAGGTTTATATTATTTAAATTATACATTGATACATAGTTACATCTATTCGAAACTAAGAAGCTCGAGTCTTATTAGGAGGAAAGCATACAGTCTGGAGAGCAGAATTTGACAATCAGGGTAAGAATGCAAGGTGGGGATGCACCATGGTTCCCTGCAGCATTCAAGATACAGTTAGCTGGTGTCTTTCAGCCACCATAGATGATCTACTGTAATTTGGATGAATGTTACTCTTTCAATACCATGTTGATATGCTTGTCAAGGTTTTGTGGTCTTAAGAATTTTCACTTCAGTGCCATTTGAGCAACATGAAAATATTTGAATTGATGGTCTTTGCTAGATGCCTTGTGTCTTCTTTGGTATGCAAGCTAAAAGAGACTTTTCATTTTTGTCATACATAACAGATAAATATTTCAGGGCACAGGCAATACTTTTAGCTTTATCATCAGCATCCTTTCACCACATTTCATCTTTCTGTGCCTGAGGTTTGCATTACTTTTTTTCTTTCTGTGTATAATGTTGACCAGCAGAAATAGGAGCTGTCCTGAGATGACTGGGGTTTAGCACTGTATTATATAGTGTATCAGGTAGGTGACAGAAAACATTAGGTGCCTGGAAGCTCATGCAAATTATGTACTTCAGCACAACTTAAAACTCATGCTTCTTGGTTCCTATTTACATATTTTGTCTGTAAATAAGAATTCCAAATTTTGTGCAACACATGAAAAGTCTGAGGTTTACTCAAGTGAGTAGAAAATAACTATTTAGATCAGTAGAAGGAGGCACTGTGGACCCCTGTATGACGTATTACAGAAGAGGGCATAATATGTGTGTATGTTGCTTAAGTAATATATATATGTATTAAGTATATAATATATAATATATTATATAATATATAGTATATAATATAGTATATAATATATAATGTATATGTGTATTAAGTAATATATATATGCATACTAATATATATATACATATGTATATGTATACATATATATTAGTTATTGATCAGAAGATGACTATCACCTTGCCTGCCACAAGCAAAAGCATAGAGCTTTTATCTAGCATAGAGCTTGACTTTAAGAAACCACCCTTCCTATGGCTTTGATGTCCCACCTTGATTGCATTGTCTTCTTCTCCTTAGTGCTGTATCCCTGGGTGACAGTCCCTGCCCATAGTGAATTTTTCCTGTTTGCTCTACTTCAGTGAATCTTTGGGATAGGTCGTGTTTTTCTATGCCACTGAAAGCAGTCTTTTCAATCATACCTCAGGATGGTCAGAAAGTAGACCTAACATATTATATTCTTAATTTGACTAAGTAGAATCAAATTGTTTATAACTTACTATTTTAAACATGTATCACTGATAAACAAAGATTGCTATTTCATATTATTCTTACTAAATTTTTCCTTCCTTCAAATTTTGAGAATATAACCAATATGAACTAGTACATGCTCAGTAACTTGAAAATTTTTCTGATGAATTTCAACTCTCATGAAATTGAGTTATTTTCATATTTAGTAATTATCACTCTTGCTTCCTGTTTTTTGAAATGCCTACACATGCCTCTGATCTAATTTTTCTTTGTCTGTTCAGCTATTCAAATCTTGTGTCTCTGTAAGCCTTGCTGGCATGTGTTTCTGTGATTTTGCAGATTTTCACCAGGACACATAATAGCACGCAGTCTTCACTGACTAAAAATTCATTCTCACCAGGGATATTCAAAGCCAGACAGGTTACATAGTAGCCTTGTTCTAAGGATCTCCTATACTGGACTGCTTGATTCTTTTGGTAGGAGTATCTGTCTTACTGTATGTCTTTGCTGTAATTACAGTTCTAAAGCAGACACTTCTGTTACAGGTGTCTAGACTTGCTTTCTCCTTTGGAACTGTTTTGATTACTTTAATTTTCAATATATTTTCCAAGATAGTCTTTTAAAATTTTTAGTACTAGAGTGTATTAGGATATTCCAGAGGGAGAGAATTTATAGAATTAATCAATAGATTGATGATAGACAGACAGACAGACAGACAGACAGACAGACAGACAGATAGATAGATAGATAGATAGATAGATAGATAGATAGATAGATGTACATTGATAGATAGTTAGATCCTACATAATAGAGAGGGATTTATCAAAATGACTTACAGGTTGAACTGGCACCTCAATGACTGTCTACCAACAGAAAGTTCAAGAATAAAGTAGTTGCTTGGTCCATAAGCTGGATGTCTTAGCTGGTCTTAAAAATGTAGGATCTAATGCCAGTAAAGGAATGGGCTTGTCGCCAGGAGTGAAGGGAACTAGGCAAGGAAAACAAGCTTCCTTGCTACCTGAAGACATGTTCCAGATTAAATGTGTATCTTCCCACCTCAAGAGATTCGGATTAAAAATGGCTCTTCCCACTTTAAATGATTTAATTAAGAGAAAAAAAATACATCGCCTGTGAACTTAGCCCTTTGGGTTTTAGTTAATTCCAGATGTGGTCAGGAGACAAGAAAGAAGAACCGTCATACAGGCCTTGGGCCCAGCACTTCTCACATGCTAGGCAATTACTCTACCACTGAGCTGCATCACAGAGCTCTTTTTATTTGGAGACAGAATGAGGATAAGTTACTCAGACTGTCTTTGAGGGTTGTAGCTCTAGCAAGAGTTGACCCATGATCTTCTTGCCTGTCTCTTGAGTAGTTGCAATTACAGGCTTATGGAGCCAGCTTTGTTTCCTTGTAATATATTCTTTGGAAGGAGTTTATGAATTTTCATTTCAAGCTACTCACATTTTTAGCCTTCATTTTTTTTGTCTATATGCATGTAAGATTTTGTGTCTATGTGCACTGAATTCCCATAGAATTTATTCTAGATCACTAGTGTTTGATGAATATTTAATTCTATTCTACTTTTCTGTTTCTTCAGTTTCCTCATTTGCATTATTTATGGTGTCTTTTCATTCTATTTTCTTTCCTTTTAATTAAAAAAGTATGCACCAATATCTTTTTAATTATTATCTTTAATATATCTTTTAATTAAACAATGTATAAATGTAAGTGTGTTACTCAGGATTTTTATTCTTGCACAAAACTTCATGACCAAAAAAGGAAAGTTGGGGAGGAAAAGGTTTATTCAGCTTATACTTCCACATTGCTGTTCATCACCATAGGAAGTCAGGACAGAAACTCACACAGGGTAGGAAGCAAGAGATGATGCACAGGCCATGGAGGTATGTTACTTACTGTTTTGGTTGCCCTGGCTTGCTCAGATTACTTTCTTATTTATTTATTTTTTAATTATTTGTTTGTTTGTTTATTTTTTCTTTTTTTTACATTTTATTTTTATTGTATATTTTATTTACTTACAATACAGATGTCATCTCCTTTCCCCATTTCCCCTCTCTAGAACCCCCTGTCCCACCCCCCCTTTATGCTTTTATACCATTTTGGTTACATATATGTATTAAGGTCAGTTCTAGGTTGAGGGTCTATAAATACAATAGATGCAAATATTCAAGGAACAAGCAATACAATAAACACAAATAGTCAAAGAAAAGGCAAAGCATTAAACCCAGTTACATGAACACTCCAGTGATCACTGTTTCTAAGGACTTATCAGGATGACCGAAGTATCTGAGCCTACTTCCCTGTCCTAGCCCAAGATCATTTTCATATCTGAAGCCTACTTCCTTGTTCTAGCCTAAAATTTAGATTCATGTCTGAAATTACTTCTTTGTTCTAGCCTAATATTTAAGTTCCTGCCTGAGATTACTTCTTTGTTCTAGCCTAAGATTTAGATTCCTACCTGAAATTACTTCTTTGTTCTAGCCTAATGTCATATTCTTGTCTGAAGTCTACTTTCTTGTCCTTGGTCAATGTCATATTCTTGCCAAGCAGCCCATTTCCTTGTCCTTGGCCCATGTCAGATTCTTGCCAAGCAGCCCCAAAGGCTCTCTGCCTCTCCCCCTTTGTTATTTCATTAGCAAAATTGAGCCTGTCTTTGGTTGTTTTGACAAGAATGCCTTCCTTACCTGTCATGGAATATGCATTATCAAATGCAATGCACTTCTGTTTTAGGTTGGAAAGGCTCTGTGCAGAATCTTACCTGTCCTTGGCTTGCCAGCCTATTAATTGAATAACTCTGTCTGGGGATCCATTTTCAGGTTCAAGCCATGTACTTGACTGCCAACATGTTGATGCTGTTGAAGAAAAGCTTTAACACAATGGGTAGGAATAAAAGTATTCCCAGGACAAAAAGGGCTAGCATGATCAAGCTATATATGCCATCTTTCAAGCTTGACCAAAA